AAAAAACTAGGAAAAACTAGGAACCAATTCAAAAAACTAGGAAAAACTAGGAACCAATTCAAAAAACTAGGAAAAACTAGGAAATACTAGGAACGCTGGAGAGCCTGAGTAGACAATTACTTGTTTTAAATGTATTCATAAATGCAATTCCCATTTCATAACTCAAACAGTACATTTAGTTTGAACTGTATATCAGAGCTGGCTCAAGGCAAGTTTGAAGGGCTCAAAGCCACCATAAAATTATACAGGCACAAAAATTGTAAAACTTTAGAAAAAATACCAACAAGCAAAGAAAAAAGGGATATTTGTGGTAAAAGTGTGTGCAGGACTTAAATTAATATCACATTAAATACTGGAAAATTCAATTCCAGATAAAGTCTTATTTCATATATGTGAAAACCAAATCAAAGAAATTTCTATTAACTTTGCTCATTAGTGTGGTAAGTGGCAAAAGAGCATTTTCATGACTGAAGTTGATAAAATACATTTTTGCATTCCACAATGATACAAAAAAGATTAATTGTCTAGCAGTAATTTCTATAGGAAATGAAATGGACAAAGAAATTAAGAAAAAGTTGTCATCTTAAAAGTTTGTAAAGTTCATTTTCTAAAGACTAATCTTTGATTATTTATGTTTTTTTACTATGCACCATTTTTGTACTCAGTATTCTGAATTTTAAAAAAATAATTTAATATTTTGTAAAGTACAGAAAAATTAAAAATATAAAAATTTGAAAAAAAAGGTGTAATTATTTTATTTTCATACCCTTATATTTTTTAGCTTGAGCTGGCACTGTAGATATCAAATATAGAATATCAAAAGGAAGTACAACGACATGCAAAGCAGATAGAAATGGCAATGTAAAAAGAAATGGTAAAAAACACAGAAAGGCATGGTAACCATTTTACTTAACTGAATTTGCATGAGACCAAAACTCAATAATTTACAAAAGAATTCTTCTAAACAGAGCAGTTTATTTCTTTAAAAAAATATCAGATGGATTGTTCATGCTGATACTTTGATTTAATGGAACATATTGGTGGGTAATTATGTATTGTGCAAAATAAACATGTACAAATCTCTTGAACCATTCCAGGGTTACTAAGAGATAGATTTGCAACTAAAGATTCAAGATGCATTCAGTTAGAGTTGTTTAGAATTACTTTGTTTCAGTTTATTCAAAATATAGAACAGGGGTCTTTAACCTTTGTGTGCCATGAACCACATTCAAAACTGGAAGCAAGATACAAGCCAGAGTGTTGTCTCACTATCTTACATGATTACACTGCAATCAGTTCTTGTGGATCATACAAATAAAACCACCTAATTGTGTGACCTTTATATAATGATATCATGTATAACATGTTTCCATAGATAGCTGCTGGGACATATGTAACTCAACAACAATGTTTGTTGAAACATGTATGTCCTATATACAAGTTTCAGGAACTGTTCATGAGAAACATTTCCAAAACTTCAGATAGCATTACTTATGTATGCTAGGCCATTTATACATATTTATCATTTCTATTTTAAGAATACAAAAGACATAATGAAAGGGTTAAATATATTATTTTACATTCTCACTTATCAAGATTAGAATGTATTGTTCCAACAGTTGGGAATCTTTATTGTTACTGATATTTTCAGCTGTAAACACAATAATATCTTGCCAGGTTCAGCCAACTTAGAAATAATGAAAACCTAGCCTTGGTTTCATTAGGTGTGGATAATTTTTTTTTGAGCTTCATAGCAATTAACATTTGACATATTACTAATGAAATTTGAAAATACAAAAGAATATTTCGGAAATTTCAGCTTAGAATAATCAATATACTCTTACAAAATGTTATTATGTTAAACATGTGTCAAATGTCTTACGAATACAAACTGATAGTATTCAGGGTGTATGAACATTAACAGTTTAAATGAGGGAACCACAGTTGTATGTGTACTCATTATGTAAGCCCTCTGCAATAAATTGACTGAAGAATATCAGCACATGCATGAAATTTGAAGTATCATGTTTTGATATAGTTTTTTTCTAATTAACTTTATCCAAATTGTCACATACACTAAGGAGTTTTTTCAAATGTATAAAATAAATAGGTAATGTAAGTAGGTAGAAGAATTATTGCAAATTCAGGTTAATTTTACATATTCACTAGCAGAAAACATATAGTGCAAATCATTAATTAATAAGTAAAGTAATTTGTTTCAATTATACAATTAATACACTTTTTACTAACTAAACAGCAATCCAACTTTCAGCAATGCAGGGTAAATACCAATTTTTATTCTTCTATTAGCAGTACTAGCAGAAATACTTGCCCTCTGGACAGGTATAACTGCTAGGTCCTGCGGAAGGCTATAGGGCCTGCGGCCTTTTGTGGAATTGCCTCACAGTTCTACAACAATGTACTCATACTTGAAATTCAATAATGTTCACCATCCACGAGAAAAAGGGTTTTATTGAACTTTTAGTCTAAAAAATGAGCTATCATCACAGCATTACATCACAGAGTAGATTTTACTGAAGTATTTATTTGTAGATGCAGTTATCAATGAAAACGTCTTGCTTTTCAGTTGCAACACTCATGAGATTTTCACTAAAGAAAAAACAAACATTTTTTTAAGTTTGTTTGATGATAGTTTTATATTTGAAACTTACTTCTTTTTGTTCATAATTTTTATTGGTTGAATCTGAAACTTATCATTTTTGTGGAAATTTCAATTGTTTGATTTATTACTCAGCTATAAAAATACTGCCTAGTTATAAAAATTATTACCAAG